CAGTTAAAATTATGTTAAATATGAGATACGAATGTTATCAGTAGAAATAATAAATGGCATTTAGAAGAGAGCTTCGTGAGAAATATTAATAGAAATATCTTTTCTTCCGCAAATTATATTTCGCATATGATGGAAGTTGTATACTTGAAATTATGAAGCATAAATCTGGCTAACTTTGTGTCGTGGTTGTTGTACATTTACATATCAACTCTGTGGTGAAATAATTAAGAAACAGACGAGGACTATAATTGGTTATAATTTTAATAAATGAGCAGTTTTCACCTCGGTGAACAGGATTTCTATGCTACTAAGATTAAATTGAAATAGTTGAAACTATTAAATAATGTCTTACATTTCCGAAAGCGCTCTGACAAACGAGCAATAAAGAACATATTTTTACGTAGCTAAAAGGCGTATTTATGACATGGTCGCATAATTTACAACGTTATAACGGATGCAAGCGGTTTTATTAAAAATCATAATCGTGTATCATCTCATTAGCGATCGGTGACTGTTGTGAGTTATGACGCTATAGATATACGTCAGAACATAAGAAGAATGGAATGTTCGTAATATTTTCTAATGTATTACGTCAAATGAACGCAATGACGAATAGTAATTAAAACATTAGTGAAAAATGAAATTTTTTAAAATTTAGAATAGCGTTCAAAATTAACAGCTCTCATAATATGTATAGCACCTCCTACAGGAAATTCATTGAATGACTAAACTGTGATAGTACGGGTATCATTGTCGGATATTGATTGTACAAATATATATATAAACGATTTTCTTATTTGCTTGAAAAGTTCAAGTTTGCCATAAAATTCAACGTTAATGAACAAAAAAGACAAAGATGAAATTAGAACACTTATGTCAGTCTATCTGTAACAGACATTTCACTTTCGATAGCCGAATCTTAATTTTACGGTGAATCTACGAACCTTAAATTTCACCATAATATAATCAATAATTTTGTATGTTTTCGTTTAGCAGAAGGTTCAACCTCTATCCTTGGCAAGCTGTTTACGATAATAATTGATAATAATCCGTTATATAAAGTGCTTTTCAAAGTTAAGGATCGAGATATAAAAACAAACTTAAATATTTTCACATGGTTCTTTCAGAACTTAAGCTGTATATTTCATTTTTGAATTCTATTTTTTATTGAAGATCAGTACACCGGAATCGGTAGCCATATGTAGTGTTTAGAATGGTATTTGGAATTTTCAATTTTAACAGTACCTTTTGCGATACCTAGACTAACTAGCCAGGTCAGACTGCATAGTTCAAGATAACCTGCCCCCAGTGGCACAGCGGTATGTCTGCGGACTTACAACGCTAGAAACCGGGTTTCGATACCCGTGGTGGGCAGAGCACAGATAGCCCTTGTGTAGCTTTGTGCATAATTAAAAACAAACAAACAAACAATCAAGATAACCATTCCTAAGCTAGAACCCCTGACCAGAAAAAGTATAATCAGTAGTCATAATTTACAGTCTACGAAGCTACTCTTAATAAACTGTGATAGACTGTTACAGTGATAGCGACACCACATATGAAGGAAGGGTTCGAAGCTTGGACCTTCTGACCGCAACACGGTGCGTTAAACCACTAGGCCACGTCTGGTCCTGAGTTTTTAGAAACTAACTTAGCAGAGGAAATTGACTTGATAATCCATAGATACTTTTACTTTAACGTTTCGCAGAGTGATTTTACAATACAGATTGGAGGCCCGACATGAGCTGGTGATTAGGGCGCTCGACTCGCAACCTGACGGTCGCGGGTTCGACTCCCCGTCACACCGAGCATCCTCACCATTTCAGCCGTGAGGGCGTTATAATGTGAGGATCACTCCCACTATTCGTTGATAAAAGAGTAGCCCAAGAGTTGGCGGTGGATAGTGTTGACTAACTGCCTTCCCTCTAGTCTATCACTGGTAAATTGGGGACGGCTAGCGCAGATAACCCACGTGAAGCTTTGCGCGAAATTCAAAACAAACCAAACAAATACACAGTGGACTAACCTTTACTTAATTTTGTTTCTGCTTATCGTTTAGGTTACAACGTCAAATCTCGTTTTATAGTCATGCTTACGTACTACTTACATAAACTCATACGTTTATACAAAACAGATGAAAAGTTAATAATATATATTTAATAAGAACAATAATAAAATAACACAATCTTTGGGTTACCCTATATAATAGACAAAACTCATTTTGTAGTGTTAGCATTAGATGACTAAATATACCATATTATCATTTATTATAGTTGAACTTGGTCGATAAATTACATGTTATTTTGTTGTTGTCCTTTATCCATCACCAGATCATTCAACGTGATGATTTGACTAAGTTGTATCGAAAATATGTTATTCATCTATCATCCGATCATATATTTAACGTCGAGTTTATCAAATGGCTCTATTTTAATACTACCATACCTTGTTGCACATAGATAAGTTTACACTAGAAAAACAACAACATGTATTAAAAACAACATAATCATTTCGACATAACAACGGAACACAAAAGCGTTGGCTGACGCACGTTCTTCTTGATAAATTTTACAAAATGTGTGTGTGTATATATTTATATATATATATATATATATATAT